AGAAATACTATGACACTAGAATAATTATACGCCGGGCCATAGCCGAAGGCCCGGGCGAAGCTAGAACTTCGCAAATCACAATCGATCGAATAATTATACATCCTATAACGTTATTTTAGTCACAATTAATATCATGTCAAAGAATATATTATTTAAACTTGTAGCCGCCTGCGAGGAAGACAAGTTCGAAGAAGGAAGACGTGTGGAACAGACGGCATATGACTCGCTCTTTATGAGTGAGTTTAAGACTCATTTTGTCGAATATTACGTTTCATTGTAGGAGCCTACAATGTAAGAGCGAACATACGGGTCGCTAGCCATTTAGTGAGGATAAAACTCACGAAAATGGGAAACCAGTAGGAGGGCTTGGAAATCATAATTTTCGGTGAGTGGTAATAATTTTACTCTTTTCTTTGATGTTGTTATAATATGTTAATAATAATAATATATATATAATATTGATATTACTAATATATATATATATATATATATATATATATATTATTCATAAATATATTATATATATTATATATATGTTATATACATATATATAATATATATGCATATATTACACACACACACACACACATATATATATATATATATGCGTGTGTGTGTGTGTGTGCGCGCGCACGCGAGCGCACATACATACATATATATCTAAATATGAATATACTTTTTTATATTTAACAATAAACCCAATAACATTTATGTTTTGTCATCCACAAATCTTCCTTCAAAAAATAGTTTATGAAGGTAAAGGGAAAATCAAGAGGGAAATGAAAACACCCCCGTGAAAATGCCCACGAGTGACCGACAGTGAGTGAATGCGCCTCCTGTGACGTCACGGAAGTCATCCTCCCTCGCCAAACATCCGGTAGTCATGTTGCAACGATCGAAAGTGTCTGAAAGTTCATATTGATCCTCTTCAATGACTCCGCCGACGATTGGGTTAGGTTGAGAAGATATCATCAGGGGATGGTTAATATCAAATGGGGATGGGATATAATGGAGAAATATTTACCAGTATCGTCTCTGGTTTGATTTCTAAGAGAGCACCGACGTGTTGGTGTTGAGTATGATGTAAGATGATTTCATTGACAATAAACTGATAGAAATACAAAATAATGAGTAAGAAAGGTGAATTTCTTACTTGATTTTTGTCTTTTTTCGTGTTTTTCATTGTTTCTCTGACATGCGTTATGTTTTCATGTCTTTGATTTCTAATCGTCATGTCATACAGCTCTTTCTTTTTCGTCACCCATAGGGCAAAAAAGGGACCCCAAGAACTGACCCCTCAAAGAAGTCTACAACTTAGGGTAAAAAAAAAAAAAATGTATTTGCAACAGTCGAGTAAATAACTTGTAATTTTTTGTTTGTTTATTTTCATATATCCTGTAGATTTAAAAAGTAATTTTTTGAGATTTGGGAGAATGTTTCACATTAGTCAAGTGTAGTTGACGGCACCGTGGTCGTATATGTATATTAAATGACTGATTTTTGTGAACTACGGAAGATGACAATGACATTAAATTTAACTGACTACCTCTGAATTTATATCGATGCCCTTTTTACAAATTTTGGGAGCCCTTCAAACTGCTTGAGGCCCTGGAATTAATGGGGAATTCTTCATTACCTTGATATCTTTTGAATTACCTCTTTTTAGAGTACTCTGAGCATATGGTTTTTTTTTTCTCTCTCTCTCTGGGTTGAAACTATCAAAGTGTTGGCAGCCCAAGTGCTTTTTAAAGGAAAATACAAAATTGAAAAATTAGAAATTTTCTATTTATTATGATATATATCCTTTTCAAAGAAATCTTATCTTCATTGGACTTAAGTCATACTAAATATTGCTTTGTTGCCCAACTCTTTGTAATGTGTAATGTTGCACTTCAATAGAGTGATAGTCTATGTTGTTCTGGAAGCCAAATTTGTTTAATAGTATTGACATCCGCATTGATTCATCTAAACAGTTGAAAATTAGGTCTAAATCCGTTGCTGGAACACGAAACGTTTCGCGCGCCACCTGAAAAAGGAACGTTTCAAACCGCGGTCGTTCGTTCGCCAAAAGTTTTCCAACGAACGTACATGATCCATACAATAATCAACTGAAAACCGAAATGTATAGTGATAACACTGAACAGTCTCATTCATTTTGTACATAAAAAAAATATAGTTTACGTACGGAAACGAAGACGAACCACAATGGGCCAAACAGGGTGATAAGCTGACCAAGTATGTTGCAATATGATTGATCCAATTACATTAAAGATGGAACGTAGAGATCGACCAAGATAATAGGAGGCCGAACCAGATATATAGTAAAAAAGGTTGAAGGTTATGTGCCGCTAATCTTTGCTGTTGATGTGGCAGATTATTATAAATAATCAATCTCTAACTCAGTCATTCTCTCTCTCTCTCACTCTCACTCTCTCTCTCTCTCTCTCTCTCTCTCTCTCTCTCTCTCTCTCTCTCTCTCTCTCTCTCTCTCTCTCTCTCTCTCTCTCTGTGTGTGTGTGTGTGTGTGTGTGTGTGTGTGTGTGTGTGTGTGTGTGTGTGTGTGTGTTTTAGTCAGCCTATCTGTCTTTCTCCCTCCCCCCCTCTCTCTCTCTCATATATATATATATTTATATATATATATATATATATATATATATATATATATATATTCGCCATTTCCCAGTATTCAAACATTCCTCCATCGTCCGATACACTGTAAAAATAATTCAAGAGTGTGGCGGTGACTAACGGATACATGGCAACTCACTCCCTGTTATTTTTACTGCATGACATCATGTGATAAGACTATCAAGAAGGGTGGTTCAGCGGGATGAACCTAGAAGAGGCATAATCAAAGACAGTATACCTCTAAATGAAGAACATTTATCGCACATTCATTGGAACGTAAACCACAACCGGATAGACGTATTTAGCAACCCCTGTGCTACGTGGTGTGTGTCACTCCATCGAAATTCGTGGTTTGTGAGACTTCTGAAGGTTAGGACCATAAACAACGGCAACGTCAGTCAGTGTAAGGGTAGCCCGGAGCAGAAAATGTGATAGCCTTATGAATGAATCACCGACCCTATCGTGCCTATAGATATGGGTTATCTATCCTATAGTTCGCATAGATATAAGAGATGAAATTTGACAGTACTGACTGCATGATGATGTACAAGCGATAAGGTAAGGTGAACACAATCGTTAAAACTTGAAGTGTTAGCGTATGGGGTGTACTGATGGTTCAGACTCGTATACTCCTTACTATCTCATATATTTTCTTCGTCAGAGATGGTTTAACTTTGGAATTCTTGTTATCTTCGGTCTCCGCGAGGGAATGTAAATAGTACGTTTTCTTTCATTATAAAAAGGGGGACTGAATCAATGTGAGAATGTGTTAAATTCCAACACGTTTTTGATATATTATCATTTCCCTCCCTTTCTCAGCCTCTTTCACATTTCCTCGTTTTCTCTCTCCTCTCCCTCATACCGTTTCATTTTTCTTCATCCATGCTTCCTTTCGCGACTCCCTTCTCCTTTCCGTGTCTCAAACCCAGTATTATTATTATTGTCATTTTCATCCCATATCGCCTTCGCCTCATATATTTTATTCTTCAATAAATAAAAAACAACAACGATGATTTTCTCAGGATATGACCAGTAATATACATTACATGCGTTGCGAAGGGTGTTCCTCAATTTTAGGGGGGCTCAGGACAGGTCAGAAAGCCCTGACATTGCAGTTACCGATATTCACCTGGAGGTGCCTAGCAGGTGTATAGGCTAGTTTTCAAAACTTCCAATGTGGGATTCGAAGTCAGCTCTTCCTTCGTACATATATTCATACAATATGTATGTATGTATGTATATGTATATATATGTATATACACATATATACACATATGTTTATAGACAGTTTATACATATATACATATTCATGTGTATATATACATATATAAATATAAATGTGCATTACATATATACATATATTCATATATTCATATATTCATATATATATATATATATATATATATATATATATATATATATATATATATATATACATACATATATATATATGTATATATACATATATATATATGTATATATACATATATATATATGTATATATACATATATATATGTATATATACATATATATATATATATATATATATATACATATATATATGTATATATACATATATATATGTATATATACATATATATATGTATATATACATATATATGTATATATATATACATATAGTACATACATATATATGTATATATATGATATATAATAATAAATATATATATTATATATATATTATATATATATATATATATATATATATATATATATATAGTACATACATAGTACATACATACAGTGGCGTAGCGAGAAATTTCCAATGGGGGGGGGGTTACAATTGTCTTCCAAAAAATGTAGACAGGCGCCGGAGGCGCGTGGAGACGTGGAGACGTGATAGGTGATAGAGAGGGGGTATATCCCCCTCTCTATAATGGTATAATGATAAAATACATGTTATTTTTGGCAGTTTTAAGCATTCTCCGAAGATAAATCTCAGTGAATTTCCTATATTCACAATGTTAATAATTCCGGTGTATTGAAAGGCAAAAAACATATTAGGCTCATATCAAGAATGTTTGATATATCTACATCTCAGTGTTTTTATGGGAAAAAGTCTCAAAAGTAAATAGTATAGTCCGAAAAGGGATTTCTTCCAATAATATTATTCCAAGCGGAAATTCAGTCGTCGTTGCCTGCTCGCCAGTCTGTTCACGATGTCCTCTGGACTCACGCGGATGTCGCGATGGATGTTGAGCATCGCCAAGCCTAAGACTAACAAGATTAACGTTCTCACAATTTCCAAACTTCTCTCAAACACAGACTGCCCACTTACCGGAATATTTAATAATAGTCACGATACCATATCTAGATATCTCATAAAACTGATTGGCTAATATTTTCAGGCTCAATTGTAGCTGGAATCAGTTCTAGGCTGTACGTAGTCATAGTGATGTGAATCATGTGATTCATCATTGTAGTATAATGTAGGATGGGGTAGATAAGGTGGTTCTATAGTTGTAATTCAATATCACAATTGACAAGCTCTCATCAAAGAGGGTTGTATTTCCTGGCTGTTTCTCGGCATATGTACACATTTAACCCATTGCCGCCGGGGAAAATGAACAAAAAATGGGGAAAATGCTGTGCCTATTTTCTATACTTTTTTGTTAAATGTCTGCCCATAGATGGCTTTGTTAGCGCCTGATTTGAAACACGTATTTT